TTGTTTTTCTCTTAGTCTCTTCCACATCTTTACCGCCCAGATTTCAACATACAGACTATAGCAGAAAAGTCCCCTTATTCTCCCTCCTGGGATTCCAACTCTTCTCTCTTCCTCTTGGTGCCACTGCTTTCTTCTTAGCTTACACTGAAATAAGCCATTTCTGTCCTTCACTTTTAACTTATATTCTTCTTATTCTTAATTCTAGATTCTTAAGGTATTCTTATATGAAATGATCTTTCTTGTGTTCAGGCTATAGCTGATTGCCATATAGATACCAGCCCTAGGAATTGATTGCCCCAGAAGTAATCCTAAGTAACTTGATTTACTTTCAGGCATTTTATCCAGGATTATGGTATGAGATATGAAAATCAGATTTACAGCATTTTAGAAACAGTAGCAGCATTGGACCAGCAGGTTGTCATCCACTTGATTCCTACCCTCACTCAGACTCTGAAGGATTCAGAGCAGAAATGGGGCCTTGGCAGAAATATGACACAAAGGTATGTTTGATAATTTGATTAAGTTCTTTTGGGCATGATTAAAAATCTAGATTCATTTTCTAGAAATGGCTTAGTTTTCCATTCCCAAAAATATGGGGTGTATTTAATTGAAACATGTTTTAGTGCTATGATTGACACATCCATCCACACATTGTTCTTTTCAAAGTGACCACCCTAGAAAGCTGTCTATTTCAGCAGTGTTGCTGCTGTTGCAAAACACGTGTTCCTCATGGGGAAGTGGCCTGTACAGCCTTGTTTGCCTTGTTTTTGTATAAATTCCATGGTGGTATATCAGTCCTTTAAAGAATGCTTGATTTACTGTATCTACTTTGTCATGTATATCCAGTTAATAGGCTGAGTGCCCCAATTAGATAACAGTGTTTTTGGTAAAAAAAAAAAAAATAGATAAAGCTTTTTTAAAATAGGTTTATAACCCAACTGAGGATAGTGCTGAAATATTCAGGGTAGTGCAACATTGTGGAAATATGCCTGTAGTTTCAGTATGAGGTGTCAGCCTCATACTGAAATTCATATGTCCCAAAGTTTGTTAAGGAATCAAAGTACTTTAATCACATTGTGGGAGTGTACGTACAGAGTCAAGCAAGTTCAATTTGTAAATAAATAAATGAAAAGTAATGGGAGGGGACTAAATTTATCTGTCTTCTTTTCTCTTACACAGGAAAGCCTATAGCAAACTTCTGTCTCACTTAGGACAAGTGGGACAAGATGAGATGCAAAGACTGGAAAATGAAAACAACTAATATGTTTGCGATTCATCTTTTTTATTAATTATAACTATCCAAACCTGGGTCGCATCATTCTCACCCCTTTTAATTAATTGTATGCTGTTCTGTTAAAATTATTTTCTAGGATTTTTTTCCTTACATACCTGTAAGTATACTAAATATATAAATAAGTAAATAAAGGTTCATTAGGTATCTTTTGGAATCTCTGAAACTAAATTAAAGAAACTTTTTCTAACTGGGAGTGTTATCTGTGTATAACAGTACACACTGGTTGATCCATGGACTTGTTACTGTAATGTGACTTTGTGTCTTGTGACTTGTTTGTGTTTGTTGAGATTTTTACAAGTTATCCTATATTATAAAAGGCTAATATGCAAATCGACCAAACAGCAGAACAACCAGTCACTATGACGTGCTCAATGCAGGAGCTGCCCCCTGGTGGTCATTGTGCTTCCATAAGGGAAGTGCCGCTCAGCCAGAAGCTGGGCTCACAGCTGGCAAGCGCAGCAGTGGTAGTGGGTAGGAGCCTCTCCTGCCTCCGTGGCAGGCGGACATTCCTCAAGGGGTCCCGGACTGCAAGAGGGCTCAGGCTGGGCAGAGGGACCCCCCTCCCAAGTGCATGAATGTTGTGCACCGGGCCTCTAGTTTCTAATAATCTATAATAATAAAAGCATAATATGCTAATTAGACCAGATAGCCAAATGACCTTCCAGACAAAACCAGGGCTACAAGGGCAGCCACCGCAGCTGCAAGGGCCAATCCCCTTGCACGAATTTCGTGCATTGGGCCTCTAGTGTTCTAATAAGATACCTTCGTAAGTTTTTTGGAAGGGGGGAAAGGATTAGGAGATAGAACTGTTTTTTTTTATACAATGTGTGAGGCAAGTTAATGAATAAAACCCTTACCAAACCTAAGAATGAGACCAAAAATCTGCCTAAATGATTGTATAGATAATATGTGTGTTTTTTGTGTTGTTTTTTTTTAATTAAGCCAACAGTGTTGTTTAGGTAGATTCCAACAGTTGCCAGATGTTTTTCCCTACTCATTCTTTCTTTGACAGTTGTCATTAACAGATATATCAGGAAGAAGATAAACGAGAACCTATAAGGAGATGATAAGTAATAATATTCTGGAAAATCTTGATATTACAAATTAACTGAAGAGGTCTGATTTATCTCAGATTTATCTCCTCAGATTTATCTCCTGATTTATCTCAGATTTATCTACTCGTTCTTCAATTAGAGCCTCTTATAATTTAGCATCTTATATGTTTACTAGGGGCCCAGTGCACGAATTCGTGCACCTTGAAAGGAACTGTGGACTGGGAGGCTGCAGTAGGCACAGGGGTGGGTCTCGGCCCATCCTCTGTGCCCCCACCTGGCCCCTCCCATCTGGCGCCAGCAGCAGATGCGAATGCCAGGTGGGACCACGGTGCGCAGGAGCAAAGAATTTTCAGTAATCACCAGAGGCTCGCCCCCATGACAGCGACTGGCACCCAGCCTTGGTCTGGCACCCCTGCTCACCTGCTCCACCATCCGGCCGTGGCCTATGCCCACCATGTTCCATGCACGCCCCCTGCTGATCAGCGCACATCATAGCGACCGGTTGTTCGATCTATTTGCATATTAGCCTTTTATTATATAGGATAGGGGACCAGTTTAGTTTCTTTCAGCAGCTATTGCCTCTTAACTCTTTAACAATCTCATCCAGATTTATTTTACCAGTTGGGCTCTTGACTCCTTTTTGTAGTAAGCATTATTTGGTAAAAAAGCTCTAGTCCTAGTGTTTGGGACCCATCTGGTTGTCAAACCTAGCTCTGCTTTGTGACCTTGAGCAAGTTACTTAACCTTTGTGAGCCTCAGTTTCTTCATGGAGAAAAAAAAAAGAATACTGCTTTTTCTATTTTACAATGTTCTGATAAGATTCAGTAGGAAAATGTATGTGAAATATTTGGTGACCTGTATTCTGTTTGGATATGCGCAGATATGAATACTGTGTTATGTATACACAAAGGTTAAAAAAAAACTCTCAACTTTGTTCCTCTTTCTTTAATGTACTAGATGAACGATCCTACTCTTTTTTGCAATGTTTTCTTAATTCCTTTCTTCTGGGACTCTGGTCTTCATTTTGGTTCTATTCCTTCAAGAAAACATGTCAATCCTTTTCTGGTTCAAAAAGTATTTTAAAATTGAAATGTATTGCAATCAGCAAAATATAGTTTATAGCACTCTCCTAATTGTAATCTGAAGTCTAAAGAAGTATCTGTTGTTTTCATAATATACAAATGGTCTGTTTTCCCCCCAAATCAGCTGTCCTTACTTCAATGAAATGAATGAAAGTCTCTTTGCAGTCACTTAAAAGACTTCGTAGCAATGAATTTCTTTTCATTATGATCATTATGAGAATGACTTGTTAAACTATTTTATCTACTTAAAGTGATGCTTTTAAAGGAGTTTTATATATAGGTTATATATTTTTATTTTCCAAGGGAGACTGATAACTATATCTGAGAATCTTGCTCCTTAGAGTATGAAACTTAAAGGATCAGAAAAGCTGCTGCTGAATCATGCATTAGAGTGAATAACTGTAGATACTAAGAATAACTAAAGTTTATACTTAAAAAATCAATTGCAACAAAAGTGTAGCAATACAGGTATATGTATGTTTTTTATTTATAAGGAAAATTTTAAAGAAGCTGTTTTTCTTTAATTGAAGAAAAAATTTGACTCAGTTCCTTTTCCTAAAAATCTTCAGTTGCCCTTCACTCATTACTATAACCTTATCTTTTTGCATTCCCAGACTTAGAGTACCTTATAACTGCTTCCTTAATATCCATTTTCCCCTAAGTACCATTATCTCTGAGGCTGCTGCTCTACCTTTTGTTTTGTAAGTCACTCTCTTGTGGTGAAATGAGGAAAGTACATCCTCATTTCTCATGTTTTTTGACCTCTGTGGCATTTTCTTTTTCATTTATCTTCTCATCTCTTCCTCAGGGAAACTGCTCCTTCCTACATGTACTGAACTTGGAGAGCACCTTCACATTCTTTTTTTCGTGTCCCAGTGGTAAGATCTGGTTCTTCACCTGTTCTGCCTTCAACATTCTTCTGTAGTCTATTGGTAACACTAGCTCATAATTTTCTCTCTCAAATCTATTTCTTGGGCTAATTTCTCTCTAAACCACTCTAATTTGATCCTCCTGAAATCTCTAGGCAACGGTATCAGGCTGCCCTTGTCACCTTATATTCCAGTCTACCTGTCTTTATTTTCTACCCAGGTAATACACTGTTTTCCCAAGTTCCTAGCTGTGAAACTTAAGAGGCAGCTTGGATTCTTCATTGCTCCCACTTTCAGTTGATCAGCAGCACAGGCTCTTGCTATTTTTTTCCACTCCATGCATCTCGGCTATTTTTTCTATTGAGCACTATAATCTCTTATCTCTGGTCTCTTTTTCTGCAGTTAATCCTTCTCACAGTTCTGACATTAGTGTTCCTAAAGTACTACTTTCCTCTTGTTACTTTTCTGCTCAGGGCCTTCAACTTACTTCCCATTGTTAGTAAGCTGACAGTCAAATCCTTCAATCAGACTTTCTGCCATCTGACTCTACCTTTTCTGTCCAAACTTACCTCTGGCAGAAGACTAGACTGTCTTAGACTGTCTGAATGTCATGTTCATTCTATACTCTGAGAGTATGCCAGTCAAGTAATTTCTGTGCACTGTCAGATTGAGTGTAAAGAAGATGATTGAGGCACAACAGTGTGATGAAGTGATTTTATTAGACATTCAGATTTGGTAATGATTGAATGTTTTTAATTGAACATTTAATGTTTCCATGGGGGAGGGAAAAAATGGAGTATTGACTCTATACAAAAAACATTTGATATTGAGTTCATTTGCATTAGAATTTCATAGTTGAAGACTTTTATATCCTTACCTATTCCTAGCATATTTTCTTTTCTTCTTAAGTGTAACTATTTCTACCTGGGCATCTATGTAAAAAAAATAATTAGTTGTGGGTTATTAGACTATGTATATGTTGAGTCATTGTTATCTCTCTCAGGCTTTATCACAAAATTTTAAAGCTACTTTGTTCTTAAAGAATTAATGGATCTGTCTTCATGTACTGTTATGGACTTTGACAGTTTTTAATTTTGTGTTCCCTTTGTTAAAATTATATGTTACACAGAAATTTGATAAGCCTCTGCAGTTGGGAGAAGCCTGTATGAAACCTACCTTCCCTAAATACTAAATGTTACACAGCACTTGTGTTTTGAAGATAAAGATAGGTATCATAGGACCTTCACTAAACGCTGTATTATCAGTACTAAACCACTGCTCTTTGAATGATAGACTTTTTACATAAACCTTACATTTTTCCAAAAACTGATGTCTTGTCTACTCCTCCTAGGGTTAAAAATATTGCCTTGTCAGTCTCGTGTATAGTATATCCATGTAAATAACATGCTTTGTTAGGTGGTTGATTTGGGAAGCTATGTAGCACATTCTTTTACATATTTAATAACATATGAGAGTTGTATTTTGATTCTGTGATATATATTGGTAAGGTTACCAAAATCAGTACCATATGATTGAAATTGACCATTTTCTGCTTATTAAAGTTTTGGTGTGCTAATAGTTATTTGATTATTGCATTTGCAAATTGTACTTTTAGAAGAATTCTGGGCATTCTTATATTATAAACATGTTTATAAGTTATTTTGTGCATATATTAAGGATATGTAATAAAAATGTATTTATTTAACTTAGTCTGTACCTATGATTATTCAACTTCCCTTTTTTTGACAGATTGACTACTTGAAAACCAAAATAATTTCTATTTTATACTATTGCTTTCATACTCTTTAGTAAAACACTAGTTTTCCAGCTATTGCAGTGTCTGAAGGGAATACAATATACATCTAGTTAAACAAGGAAAGCATGAAGAGAAGAAGTGTAAAAGGTACCCTAATCATAACCTAACTGGCATTATGTTAAGGACCCAAAGAATTTTATTGCATTTTACATTTTAGAGATTCATATCTTTGCTGGCTTTTCCCCCCACACTAAGAACACTGCCAATATCTATGTAGTACTGCTTCTTTTTAAAAGTAAAATACTGAAATGATGCTTAAATAGTTGGAAGTTTCGTGATCTATGGAAATTCACATTGATAATTTGAATATAAAAACAATATGATCTTTAATTTTGAAGAGTGAAACTAGAAGATGAATTGCTATAGAATAGTACACTTAAATGGAAAAATATATGAATAGTTTCAATGACCAAACATAGTTTTTTTTTTCTTACTAGCTCTTACTATTGATTTGAGGGAAAGGATCTAATTATAAGTGATCTCTGCGTTCTTTTTCTTTTTTAGGGGAGAGATGTAGTTTTCTGTTGTTGGGCTGTACTTATAAAGGGTTTATAAAGTTTCTGAAAATTATGTAAAGCTTCTATAAATTCTGAGTTCAATTCTTTGAATACTATGTTCTCCATGGAAGAGTTTGACAATAGATACTGATTTGTTTAAAATGAATAGTTAGAAATCCACACAGAAGAATATCAAGAGTACTCTTAGGCTGCCTTCAGTTACCATTAAACAAACTTATTTTTAGACCATTTCCCCTTTACTTGTTGGATATAGGGTCTGGGGTTACAAATAGACTAATGGTTTTATAAGGTAAAACTGCTACAGGGAAAATCTGTATGTCAAGTAGAAGCATTAATGAATCAAGTATTTCTTGCATAGGTCCTTGTTGAAAACATTCTGAAATGCTGTCCCTTTTCCTGACCTGGTAAGGCATTTTAAAAATTTAGTTTAGATGGTTTATACCTTTTAAAGAGATTATCTATCATCCTTCTAAATATAAATTTACCTATGTCACTTTCAGAACTGTACAAATACTCTCAAGGTTTTTTTGTTTGTCTAAACTAAATCTCTGTTCTTTAAAATTTACTTTGTCTTCTTACTCCTAATTTCTCTCCCCATCCCACCCTTAAATCTGGATAGCCAGAAGATATATATCTTAGGTATCTTATGTATAAGATTAGTGAATTCTGTATTTAGAATAAAAATCTTTAAAGTGTTTACATGAATATAATTAGAATTTCCTATAAACCAAGGATTGCTGAATGATTAAACTATGTCTATGGAAAAAGTCAGTGAAGTCTTTTTAATAAAGGTGACTTAGATTAGGAAAAGGGGAAGACACACATTTTTTTGTTGTTGACTTTGTTCAAATTGATTATTGAGTTGTTTTCTTTTTTGTTATGGACAAAGCAGATCCAAAAACCTAGCCTAAAAAAATCCTTATGCATTATTAAAAGTGGTAGTAATATGTGTATTGGTGGTGGGAAAGAATCCCACAAGCACTCAAGATTGACATAACCTTTAACAAAGTGGAAAAACTTTTGTTAGAATTACTGATTCTAAGTTCAAATTTATGTCAAAGCACTTTATGGTACCAAAATTAGTACAGCTAATTTTTTTGAATATAAAATGTCATTTTTCAATAAATGAATTTAAATGAGATGTTTGAGAGAGTTATTTGAGGCAAGGATTTGCACAAGTTTAGGATTCTTTGGGTTTGGTAAAGTCCCTTTTTTCTTATTAGCATTATCTCTTTCACCTGCTTTTAGAATCATTTATTCTATAGCATGTGTTTGAAGTTCTACCTAGTAATTTTTAAAATTCAAAAATAATCTCCCTGTTTGGTACAAGATTTAGACAGTAAAATACCTTGGAATTTGAGTAACTTTTTTTTCTTAGGTGAAGTACTTAAGCGCATTTGCCTAATCCTCACACCATTCTTCTAAATTGATATGGAAATCACTAATTATCCTTTTTAAACAGTTGGAAAACTGAAGCTCTGTAAAGTTAAGCCCAGAGTAATTATTATTATTATTACTCTGTGATAATTTAAGTTAATATGACTAATAGAAGCCCTATTGAATAGGGCTGTCTAATGTTAAATTTTTAAAGAAAAATTACAAACCCAGGTTTAAGTAGCAAAGGGATTGAGTATTGAAGTTTTTTAGAAATCAATGATGACAGTACTTGGAAATTGACTTACTAGTGCTGTCATGTTGTCCTAGACAGCACTAGTTAGAAAAAATGCTCTAATGACCCATAGAACAGTAATGGACCATTAAGTTGGCACTAAGCTACACCACAATAAAAGTCATACATATGCTATTGTATTGTACATTACATACACTGTAAAGGCTGACAGGAATTTTCAGTTACGTATTTTAGAAAATTGTTCTTTTTTTTTTTTTTCTAATGTTTATCTGAATATAAGACCTATAAAACAAGACAAGGAAGCATTTGAGCACTCAGTCTTTTCATGCCCAGTATCCAAAAGTCAGGCTTTTTTTTCCTCCTGTTGTGATGGTTATCCACAGAGCATTGGCTTTTCAGATGGTGCCAATTCTGTGATGAGGCACTTGAAGAGTTTGAAGATTAGGGCATGTGAAATATGGAGCTGGAAGGAAGCATGCTGCTATTCCATTGGAAGCAAAAGGGAGTGTAGGCCCATAGAATACTTCTTCCTTGCCTTCTCTACTTACATCCAATACCTATAAAGGAAGAAAAGAAGCCTGCATGTCAGACATGACTGCTCAAAATAAAGCTGTGTACACATAAAAGGAAGTCTGCAGTTCAGTTATGCCATCATGACCATACCTTAGCCATTGCTATTTTTCTTACATTATAATACCAAATATATGTATTAAGTTCCTGCCTAGTGTTTATATACTTGTGTGTGTACATATACATAGGTATATATTTACAATAATTTAATCTTCAGAAGAGTGATGAGGTAGTTAGCATTATCCTTAGGCTGCTTAAATAACATGTTCAAACTAGTTAGTAGATGTTGTCATATGTTGGGTTACAAATGCTCAGTTGTAAACTGGGGAAAACAACATTGACCTTCCAGCATTGTTCTCAAAATTGGTGACATCTAGCTCTGTCTACCACACAGAATATACAGGACAGCTTAGTAGCAAATTCATAATCAGTTCCATTGATTCTGGAAATTTTCTCGTCATTTCCTTTTCAACCTAGAGTTCTATCTCTTCTTATATGGAAGAGAGTCTCTTTGTTAGTCTGTGCCTGCTGACATTTCACCAAATCTGACAATCTTACTACTAGGAATATTCATTAGGAAAGTTGGTTATATCTCATTTGTCAAATCCATTAAGTTCTTTCCAGCCCCAAACACCTTAATCTATCTCTGTTTGAACACCCTCTAATCCAGTGGTTCTCAACCTTGGCTGCACATTAGAATCACCTGGGAATCTTTTTAAAATCCTGATTTCTGGGCCTCATCCTCCGGAAATTGTTTCTTTGTTATGGGGTGGGGCCACAACAAAAAGATTCCCAGGTGATTCTAATGTGCAGCCAAGGTTGAGAACCACTGCTCTAACCTCATTTAAAACCTTCCCTGGAAAAGGTCCAAGACGGCAGTAGCACAGGTGATGCAGCTCACCCTCAAACAGTGGGATTAACAGGTTCCCAACACACTCACACATGTGCACTGGGTGACCACTCCCAGAGCCCACTGTTGCTCATGCACACTGGGCTGCCTCTCTCAGAGCCCATGCCAGCCAGTAGCCCAGGCACCTACCCCAAGCTCTACTATGCCTCCTCAAACTACCTGGCACACCCAGTCAACACACAGATTGCTTCTATATAAGACCATTTTCTTGAGATTTGGAGAGAGCAGTTTCATCTAATTTATATAAACACAGAAATACAAGCGCAATGAGAAGACAAAGAATATGTCCCAAATGAAGGAATAAAAACCAGCCCACCTCACCCCCCAAAGTAAAAACAAAATACCCTAATGAAGTGGAAATGAGAAATTTGCCTGATAAAGATTTCAAACAGTCATAAGGATGTTCACCAAACATGAGAGAGTAGAAGAGAGGAACTCCAAAAGAACTTCAACAAAGAGCAAGTATAACAAAGAGTCAATCAGAGCTAAAAACAAACAAAAAAACACAATAACTGAAATGAAAATATACACTAGGAGGAACCCACAGCATATTAGATAATACAGAAGAACAGATTAATGATGTGGAAGACAGATAAGTGGAAATCACCCAAGTAGAATAGCAAAAAGAAAAAAAAGTTTTTTAAAGAATCGCTTAAGGGACTTCTGGGACATCAAGCACATTAACATTCACATTATGGGAATCCCAGAGGAGAAACAGGGAGAGAAGGAACAGAAAACGTATTTTAAAAAATAATGCCTGAAAACTTTCCTAATCTGGGTAAGGAAAGACATTCAAGTCCAGGAAGCACAGAGTTTCAAACAAGATTAACCATTACATATTGTAATTAAAATGGCAAAACTTCAAGATGGAGACTTGAAGGAGGAAAACAACTAGTCATATAAAAGAAAACCCCAAAAGTTTATCAGCAACAATGCTACAGCCCAGAAGGGAGTGGCAGGACATTTTTAATATGCTGAAAGGAAGGAATCTACAACCTAGAATACTCCTGGAAAGATCATTCAGAACTGAAGGAGAGGTAAAGAGTGTCCCAGACAGGAAAAAAAAGTAAATGAAATCATAAGACCACCAAATCTGCTTTACAAGAAATGTTGATCTTCTTTAAGCGGAAAAGACAACCAGAAATTAAATATTTGAAAGAAAAATCCCATGTGAAATCATTGTGTTGTATGCCTGAAACTAAATATTGCATGCCAACTATACTTAAATTTTTTAAAATAAAAATTAAGTAAAACCTTTTCTCCCTTGGATTCCATACTTTTAAAGAAATTAGTAAGTTTATCACTGACATTGTCCTATTAATAGCTTTCTACCTCTGGTCCCTTTTCCTCCACCTACTTGCTAAATGTAGGAATGATCCAATATTTCAACCACAGACCTGTTGTTACTCTTCTTTAATGATCTTGCTCACTCTCATGCCTCCAACTATCACCTCAGTAAGTAATTCTGAAGTCTTTAACTGTAATAATGTATTATTGCAGATGAAAGGGGCTATTGAGATTTGGTGCTCCAAGCTCATAAAGGAGAAAATCACTAAGGCATAAAATAAAAGAAAGATTACACTTACAGCTACTTTCCCCCAAATGGACACTAGGTATTTCACCCCATTTACTAAACAATATACCCAGATACGACTAATTTAAAATATCTCTATTATAGACTACATGCAAACTTAAGTTTTTATCTTTTGTTGACTTATGTGTCTTCGTGCAGTACTACGTTTACAGTTATTTTGACTGGGTAAGGCAAGTCTCCCCCATTCACTTAAAATTTTTTCTTGGTTATACTTACACTAGAGGCCCGGTACACAAAAACTTGTGCACTCGGGGGGTGGGGGGAGGGGGGTCCCCCCGCCCGGCCTGTGCCCTCTCGCAGTCTGGGACCCCTCAGGAGATAACGACCTGCTGGCTTAGGCCTGCTCCCAGGTGGCAGAGGGCAGGCCCAATCCCTAAGTGCAGCCCCTGGTCAGGCTCAGAGCAGGGCCGATTGGGGGGTTGGGGCACCGCCCCCTGTCACACTCAAGGCAGGGTTGATCGGGAGGTTGCGGCGCCACCCCCTGTCACGCACAGAGCAGGGCCGATCAGGGGGTTGGGGGGCTGCCCCCTGTCACTCACAGAGCAGGGCCAATCAGGGGGTTGGGGCACCGCACCCTGTCACACACAGAGCAGGGCCGATCAGAGGGTTGGGGAGCTCCCCCCTGTCAAACACAGAGCCGCAGGGCAATCAGGAGATTGGGGAGCTCCCCCCTATCAGGCACAGAGCAGGGCTGATCAGGGGGTTGGGGTGCCTTCCCCTGTCACGAACAGAGCAGGGCGGATAGGGAGGTTGTGGCCCCGCCCCCTGTCACACCCAGAGCCGCAGGGCGATCGGGGGGTTTGGGCGCTGCCCCCTGTCACGCTGATCCCGGTGCCGGGAGCCTCGCTGCTCCGCTGATCCCGGTGCTGGGAGGCATATTACCCTTTTACTATATAGGATAGAGGCCTGGTGCATGGGTAGGGGCTGGCTGGTTTGCCCTGAAGGGTGTCCTGGATCAGGGTGGGGGCCCCCACTGGGGTGCCTGGCCAGTCTGGGTGAGGGGCTGAGGGCTGTTTTCCGGCTGGCGAGTGACTAAAGCTTCCAACCGCTCCTTGTTTTCTTTTTTTTTTTTTATTCTGGGCCAGCTTTAGCTTTGAGGCCTCGCTGCTGAAAACATTGATACAATGTTGCGGTCCGAGCCCGGCTGAATGGAAGCCGGTTTCTGGGGTTTTGTTTAGCTTCTTATTTGCAACATAGTACATAGTTGCTTAGAGTTGCAGCTGAGAGGCCGGCAAGTGAGGCGGGGAACGTTGGAGTCCGCAGCAAGCAAGCCTCATGCTCGCTTCAGTGCCTGGCTGCCGGCCGCCATCTTGGCTGACAGTTAATTTGCATATACTCACTGATTAGCCAATGAAAAGGGTAGCGGTCGTACACTAATTACCATGTTTCTCTTTTATTAGTGTAGATGTTTACTTTCCTAGAGAATTTGAGAAGTGTTCCCCACCCTCCTATGAAAAAGGAAAATCTCAATGGGATTTTGATTAGTATTCATTGAATATAGAAAGTAGGGATCTTCCTATATTTACTTTATATAAAGTTAAGTATTATCTTCAATTAACAGAGAAGAAAACTGAGTTAAAGAGAAAGTTCAATGACTTCTAAAAGTCAGACAGCTAGTAAGTGGTAGAGCCAATAATTTAACTCCAAGTTGCAACCCAAGAGCAAGAAATTTGTGCCATTCATGACATCCCCTCAACTGAATAAATTTTTAGAAGGCAATATAACAGTCAAGGTCATCATCCAGAGAGCCTTTTTTCTGGTTCCATGGAACAACAGAGACTGTATATGTTAAGGAAATATAATCCTTTTAATCTGTGAGAAGGGAAAAGGAGGTGTTGGCAGTTTTTCTCCAAAGTACTCTCCTGTAAACTGCCAGAAAGAAGGCATTGGAGAGAAGGAGGTACCAGCTTGACAACATACCCTCTAGCCAAAAAAAAAAAAAAAAGTAATCATAAGTGAAGAGCAGTGGAGGTGATCTGGAAACACAGACTACTCATGTGTACACTTATGCAGCTGCTCCCGTTTGTGCTGCTCATCATCCATGATGCACCAGATCGGAGTCAACCTTTGTGCCAGACGTTTGCTTATACACCCACTGCATAAACAAGAGCACCTCATTTTCCACAGGAGTCTTTAATATTTGCCATGAGTCTTCATTACTAACAAGTCCAAATCTCAATCTTTAAACAAGTATGCATTGAAGAGCAAGCTTTTCTCTTGTTTGAGTTGCCCTCCTATGCTAAGTCAAGTAGTAGGAGGAAATAAAATAATAGGCTTTCTCAACATCTGACATGCTTTATCCCTGTGTAGTTGAAGCCTACAGATGACAGTTAAAGCTTTAATTAGAGTACAGAATGGGCAATCTAATGCGACAATTTATTGACTGATATTTTCAATAGAAAAAAAAAAGACTTCAGTTGTGGATGTTAACAGACTAATGTGAACTATTTAAGTGTGAACTTCATTAATCTTAGTCAACCATG